ATAATATAATATTTTATAAAAATAATAATTAAGTATTATGTTAGAACTCAATAATTATCCTAATTATATTTTAGATTTTTTATATTTAAAATGAGATGTTTATCTTGTATTTGATATGTTTATCTGTAGTTAGTTACACGAATTCAGATATGGAGCTTTAATAAGTTAACTTACGCACAATCTACTTGTAATCTTGAGTTTTAAGTAATATGCATTAATAAACAGTATTTTATACATAAAAAGTGGTTTTTAAGAATTTTTATCAAATGCTTTATAATACAGTATATATATATATATATATATAATTTTTACAAACTTCTAAATATTTAATTAGTAGGAATAAAAAGAAGAAATATTTTTCTTTCTATCGGTATTTTATTTTGGAGAGTTCTTTAAATTTACAGTTTTTTAGTCTTTTCATTTTCACGATATGAAGAAAGTTTTGTAGATCTATTGGATTAAAAAGAATAAGGTGGTATTTATTCAAATAATGAAAATATCAAACTTGAAATATGTCAAAGAAAATTGGATCTAAAGAAATTGGAATGAAATTTGATCATGTTTAACCGTATATTTGGTTGGCATGAATTAGAATGAAATCTTTTAAAAGAATTTGAATCTGTCTGTTTGGTTCGTTGGATATAACAGTGACGGTGAGCTAAGGTAATGGTATCGATGGTAGTAGCAGTAATAGTGGTGGTGGGTGCTGACAAATGGTGGTGATGGTAATGGTCACAGTGCTGGTGGGGGTGAAACCGATGGTGATAATTACAATGATGTTGGTGAAGAATACAATGATGACATCAATCGTGGTGGGATGAAATGAAATAGAGTAAATATAATAGTATGATTTTTTAAATATAGTACGAAAGAATTGTAATTCCTTGCTATAACGTAAGGAATTTACACTCCACCATATGTGGAATTTGAATTCCTTACAACACTCAAATAATGAATCAAACACAAGAATGAAAATTGCAAATTCATTCAGATTCAACTGAATTTCAATGAACCAAACGCCGTTGAAGATAAAGGTTTCAAATTTTTTAGAGTAAATTAAATTCTTAGTCTTTATGGTTTATTAGTTGTCATTATTATAGTTCTTCAAACGTGTTTATTATAGTCTCAGTACCTTAGGTATCTAAAAACGCACACTCTAACGAAATCTGTTAGATCAGTTAACTCAAAGGCTGTTTTTGTCTTTTAAACTATTTTTTGTCTTTGTTTTATTATGTGTGTGTGTGTATATATACATATCTATACTATATTATAAAGTATTTGACAAAAACTGTTAAAAATCATTTTTTATGTATGAAGTACTGTATATTGATGCATATTACTTAAAATTCAAGATTACAAGTAAATTATGCATAAACACAACTTATTAAAGCTCGATGTTTGAATTCGTATAACTAACTGCGGATAAAAATAATCAAATAGAGAATAAACATCTTATTTTAAAATATAAAAAATCTAAAATATAATTAGGATAATTATCGAGTTCTAACAAAATAATTAATTAGTATCTTTATAAGAANTTAAAATATAAAAAATCTAAAATATAATTAGGATAATTATCGAGTTCTAACAAAATAATTAATTAGTATCTTTATAAGAAAATTATATTATTAAATCAAATATAAATTACTTCGTTATTGAACCTAAATTAAATTATAATAAAAAAATTGAATTAAA